TCAAGCTTGGCAAAGATTGTGAGGATGGCACAGGACAAGACAGTGTTTCATTCTGTTGTGCATGGGGTCACTTATGAGTAGGAACCAACTCAAAGGCACCTAACAAAAATAACAACCTGTAATTAAGTAGATCAATGTTGAATCCACTGTGACCTGAGGATTTCTTTATGTAATTATTATATCTACCTTAAAATACACATATTATCTTTCTCTAGTAGCGTAGTGGTTACGAATCAGGTTGTGAACCTCAAGGTCAGCAGTTCGAAACTACCAGCTGTTCTGTGGGAGAAAGATGAGGTTTCCTGCTTCCGTAAAGATTTACAGCCTCAGAAACCCTGTACAGGGTCACTATAAGTAGGAACCAACTGCATGGCACATAACAATAACAACAACAACAAAATATAAGTTTAAGGGGCTAGTTACTTTGCATGCCTTTTCCATATATTCTCTAGTAATTAAATATGTGCATAGAAAATAATTTGTTATTGTTAAGTGCCATAGACTCAGTTCTGTTGAGTCTATGGCAGTTAACAATAGCGATACTTTATAGAGTTTCCAAGGAGCAGCTGGTAGGTTTGAACTACCAACTTTGCTGTGTGAAGTCCAGTGCTGATCCTATAGTACCACACCAGAACTTAAAATAATAGGTACTTAATACCCACTAGATGCTCCTAGAAAACCCTATATAGTGTCGTTATGAGTTGGAACCAACTCAATTGCATTTAACAACAACAATAACAATAAATATTTTTTAAATTAATAAGATATATTTCATAAGTGAAGTCCTGGTGTGGAGCTATGGGTTAAAGCACTGGACCATAAGGTTGACAGTTCAAAGTCTCCAGCCACTCCTTGGGAACCCTATACAGGGTCACTAAGAGTGGGAACTGACTGATGGTACATAACAAAAACACCATGTCACAAATGAGGTGAACTGTGATTTTTTTCTTCTTACACTCTCCTGGTGTGACTATGTAGGATAAGCACAAGACCACAAGGTTGGTTTGAGCCTCAAAGTCGGCAGTTCAAACACATCAACCACTCCTCAGAACCGGACTCGACGGTCCTTAACAATAATGACATACTTGCTCTAATCAGTTTAAAATCATAGTAATTTTGGTGGTCATGGTGGTGGTTGTGTACCGTCAAGTCAGTTCTAACTCATAGCTGGCCTGTGTAAGGTTTTTGAGGCTGTAAATCTTTATGGGAGCAGAAGTCTTCATCTTTCTCCCACAGAGTGACTGGAAGAGTCAAATTGCTAAGCTTACAGTTAGTAGCCCAAGTCATAACCTACAAGGGCTCTTCCATAGTAATATTGTTGTTGTTGTTGAGTGTGGTCAAGTCAGTTCCGACCCATAGCAACCCTGTATATAGGCTTTCTGAGGAACGGCTGGTGAGTTTGAACTGCTGACCTTGCTGTTCAAACTGACTTTGCATTAACCCACAGTCCACACCAGGACTAATATAGTAATATTAGTTGCATACGATTATTTTAGAAGTCTACTATTTTTCTATTTTCTAAAATATTTTAGGTTCATTTGAACTTTGGAATTAATTTGACAACAATGAGCAGGTAGATGGTATTTGACCTTCCACATTTTGTAAGAATTCATAAATATTCTTGATTGGGAATTTTCTTAATGAAAATTCTTAATGACATTCTAAGTCCAGAATATTTATAATTTCTTACAATAGATATAAAAAGAGTTTCATTGGGAACAATAAAATGGATATGCTTTTCTTCTGCAATTAAGAAATCATATTTAGAGCAAAGGAAAATTAAAGATCTTATAACTCCAGCAAGTGATTTCTTGCAATTATAAGACAATCAAAAATAGAGTTTGGGGTAATATGTCTATAATTTTTAAACCTTATGTTTCTGAAGTAAAAGAAACAGAAAACAATAAACAAATAAAAGGTCTAATAAAGTATATTTTATTTTCTGTCTTAAAGTAATTCTTAATATTGCTAGGGAACTAAATTAATTTCTGTATAGACTTTAAACAATTGAGGAAAAAGTTCAGCAAAAAGGAGTTTTGGTTTAAAATAATTTTAATGGAAATTTATACTTAAAATATGTATAAATACTTTTGTAAAATCTATAATCTTTTAAGGAAACACAATCAGGGTTTTAAATATTATTGTAAAATGGAGCTCTGATGGCACAGTGGTCACAAGTCTGGCTGCTAACCTCAAGATAAGTAGTTTGAAACTACCAGCCATTCCACGGGAGAAAGATGAGGCTTTCTGCTCCTGTAAAGATTTATAACCTCGGAAACCCTATACAGGGTCGCTATGACTCAGAATCTATACCATGACACATAACCAAACAACCAATTCATGTATTTTTGCACCATAAGCATGTATTTTTGGCAGCATGTCTAACAACACTTACAAATTCTAAATAAAATGAATGTGCAACACACAATTACATAGTCCAGGGTCAACAATTTCAAATTCTAAAATGTACTATTTCAGTTACAGTTTTAGTAAGGGTAAACAAGATGGAAAAGGTTTCTTCTTCAGTCCTTCAAGCTATGATGCATCTTCTACTCAATGCCGCTATTTCATTCCATATTCTGGATGGTCTAGATTTTACTATGTGATTATTTGCTTTCATCTTGGTCCAAACTCTCTATTAAACATGCCCATGTGTCATGCCACTGTCAAGAGAATGAACAGCCTTCACCTAGTTGAGAATTATACATTGCCTTAACTAAGAAGCTAGGTTAGTTATAATTACTATTAGCACAATCATGTGGTGGCATCCAGCACATGAGCATTTGGCAGAAGTGATACTCAGCTAAGACTAAGATATTATCCAAGTTCCATTTGACTTAGCCATATGGATAACCACCCCAGGTCACTTGAAATCTTTTGAGAAAGACTGAAAAACTAAATCAGTGACATATGGGTGGATGAAAAAGCCCCTCTCATGGAATCAGCCCAATATCAGCCCAAAATCAAGGTAGTGATAAAATGTCAGTGATACAACTTATAATCTACTTTAGAGAGTATCATTTTAACTATTGGACTTTTGAGATGTACATTTTACCAATTCACCACACCATTTTCTATAACACTAAATAAATGTTCAACATAATAATTATGAAGTTAATTTAAATGGTAATGGTCCTAAGTTAGAGCCAATTATGTCCTCAGTGAAAGTAAATGAATAAAAATAGACATATATTTAACTCTTCACAGAACGACACATGGATCATTTGATGACCTAGCAGTCCTATGAAGATTCTGAAGCTGATTTTGAAGTCTCAAGTTTTCAGCTTGGAGTCTCGCCTGAACCCTTCGAGCTTCTTCCTAAAGAGTAATAAAAAATTTAAAGCTTAACAAAGAGTAATGGCAAATGAAATGATTTTCAGTTACTTTTTTTTATATAAGAATCAAAGCATTGTCATTTGCTTGCTTAACGTAACACATACATAATAATCAACATTTCCTGAATTCTTCTCTTCCATTTATATTCACTTTACCTTTCACTCTTTGAGTTCCTATTTCTGATTTCTGTAACAATTTACCATGCTTCTCTGATTACAAGAATAAGGTTATTAGACCTATCATTTGTTTATTGTTAGTGTCTGAAATGTTGGTATCCCCAAAACTCCATTCTGTTCTAAACAACCTCCTTGGGAAACCTTAATCATATCCTGACTGGAAGCCTGACTGGCACACCGATGGATATATAATATATTTCTAAGGGGGAAAGATGAGCCAGCAGCAGAGTGTCTTGGTGTGATCCAGAACCAGGTAAGATCTCCAACCTTAGAGGAGGGAATATGTCTCAACTTTTGGTGACAGGAGTAGAAGAGTGAGGAGATCAAAAATCCCAGATTGAACCACTGCCCTTCAAGGCAGAGCTGCAATCTTAAAAATACTTTCAAGTAGGAGGAACAAACAAGATGGCAGATCAGGTAGAAGTGCAGTGAGGAGCTCCATCAGCAACAACACAGAATACCAAGCCAGGCAGGTTCAGGGAATGGTCCCAGAACTCTGAACTGCATATAAAGGAATATTTAGAAGGTTGGAAGTCTTGCAGCCAGGGAAATTTGTAGCAGAAGCAAGAAACCAGTGTTTTCTAATCTAAGATGCTTAGCTGCTCCTGAAGCCACAATCTTGGAAGAGACCAAGCAGGG